GAATCTAAATGTGCTTGGCATTGGTGTTATAGCTGTGCTTATACCCTAGTGAGTAAGGCAGAGGAGTAGATACATAGTTATGGTTGAGCATGAGGACTGTTTTTATCAGGTAAAATATTATAATACCCTTTGAGGTTCTTACTTGTATTAACTTATTTATTCCTCCCAACATCTTATATGAAGCAGGTGAGGTCATCAACATTCCTTTTTTGCAGATGAGGAAACTGAGGCACAAGGAGCTTTTGTGAGATCACTCAGTGGCAGAACAGGGATTTAAGTCCAGGCCTATCTGCTTAAACTCACACTCTTCCGCTTCCCCGAGTCCAGACTAGTGTGGGAGAACCTTGTAGTCAGAAAGATCTCAAGGAGCGCCGTTCAATTCGGTAGCAACTAGCCATGTATGGCTATTTAGATTTGAAGTGAGTCAAAGTAAATACAATTAAAAAGTCAATTCCTCACTTACACTGGCCACGTCCTAAGTGTGCAATAGCCATAGGTAGCCCAAAACTACCTTATTGGGCAGTACAGATATAGAATATTCTCATCATTGCAGAAAGCTCTATTGGTTAGCGCTGATCTAAAGCATGTGAGGTCACCTTTAAAAACCCCAAGGACTTGAAGTGCATGAGGTACATTTTTCCAAATTCTTTGTATGTTTTAGGTCTTTATAGGTCACACAGTTGTCCTTTCGGTCAAATATGTTGTCCTTGTTTTGACAAAAATATTATAATAACAGGAAAGGAAGGTAAACCTTACTAACACTTAGGTTTGTTATGTTTAATCCTCATAAAACCCTGGGAAGTAGGCATTTTGGGCCCCAATTTACGGATGAGTGGGCTGAGGTCTACAGTTGTTCATTAGTTTGGCCAGGGTCATACCTAGCTGGGCACAGCCGAACAGACTTTGCCTTCTGCTCGGCCTGGTGGCAGAACCTATATTTTACCTTTCCAAATGCTGCTCGCAATACTCACTTCGTTATGCCAACCTTTCCTCATGCCAAAGTCAAGTTGAAAATAGCTATTGAAAAAAATCATTCACTCCCATTACACAAGAGAAACGCTAGCAGGGTGTGGGATTACACGACGGAAACTGATCTACATATCGCTTTCCCTTCTCGTCTGATCTCAGAACTTGCCACGTGTGGCTCATCTCTCTCTCTCATATGCTTCTTTATGCTCCTCTCTTATTTCCGCGTGTCTCTGAGATCTGTTGCTCTCATATTGAAAGTCTCTGTAGCTCATTATGTCCCGATTTTTTTTTTTCTGCGTGTCTCTGAGATCTGTTGCTCTGCTCATATTGAAAGTCTCTGTAGCTCATTATGTCCTGATTTTTTTTTTTTTTTGTTTTTGTATCAAATCCATCTCCAAGGGAATGGAGACCTGACTTCCTCAGTCCTAACCCCAGTCAGGGTCCTTCCTTTCATCCCCTGGGACAGGCAGCCCTAAGGACTTCGAGTGCTCGGCATTTAACTGGGCTTCGACTTGATTGTGTACGGCAGGGTTCCCCTTTGTCTCTAGAGTTATACAATTTAATTTGTCAAGTTAAAAGTAAAAACTGAAAACCAAAACTGAAAATTATTAAATAATAGATGTATTAATGTCAGCTGCGGACTCCTTCCTTGGCAGCAATTTTTCCTAGGAATATTTCACATCTGTGATGGAAACAAACATATTGTCTTAGGGTTTTAATTAGCCCTTTTGGAAATGTATTTTTACATACACATGGATATTTGGGGAACATCCTATGTTGGAAGGGATCTTTGTTAGCGTTGGCATACGGAATCATTATAATGGACAAGGTCACTCACTCGTGGCTGTGAGTTTCGAAAGAGTCCTAAATGTGGGAGGGGATGGATCAATCAATGCACTTTGTGTGGACATGCCATGGAAGAATCACTCCTCAAACTACATAATCACTACCACATGGAACCGATGGAAGCAGAATCAAGATCCCTGTATGAAGGACATTTATTTTGGGGCCAAAGACTTGAGCCTTACCGTTCTGAGTAAATGATTTTTGAGGTTTAATCAGTTATGGATAAGGAGAGCTGGTGTCCAACACTGAGGGGCAGAGCAAGTGACAAGAACACTATTTACACAAAGAGATCTGCAGGGCCAGCCTTAGCCCTAGACGAGCACTCACAGATCTGGAGTTAGTGTTAGATGAGGTATGAGAGAGAAGGAAGAAACAGAGTAGGCTCTGGCTTCTTGCCAAATGCCAGGGATGTAACCTAGTTCTTTCTTTTTTTCTTTTTCTTTTCTTTTCTTTTCTTTTTAAATAGATTTACTCTTCAATATTGTTGATCATTGTAACCTAGGTGCCTATTGCCATGTCTGACTCATAATAGGTACTCAATATCTGCCTTTTGAATGAAAGAATAAAGAAATGAATGAAGAGTGACTCTATTATACTCTCTGTCCCACATGATCTTCTGAAGAAGGAGCTCAACCTCAAGGATGTGTGAATGGGGGTGAACAAGGGTGATAATTGTGATAATACTTGGGGTACAGGGGACCAGCCATTTGGCTGATGGCCTTGAGATTGGATTGGTAGAAAGCCTTAGGGAAGGAGTAGGAGGCAGGGGCCTAACAGGTCACTTGAAAGCCATATTTCTGGTGTTTCAGACTGATACAGATGGCATGAAATCATGATTTTTGGGATTTAGCACTGGGGGGATTCGAACAGAAAAGAGAAATAGCCCCTTGGTTGATTGCGTAGAGCACCGGTTCTCAGCCCAGGCTATTTAGTAATCAGAGGAGTTAGAAAACGAAAACCAAACACTAAATCTGGGTCCACCCAGATCACCGGACTTAGAATCCGTAGAGATGGATGCAGAGAGGGATGAGGAAGCAAGCACTCAGGGAGGAGTCTTTGGCTACACTTGACCGGAAAACTGACGGAAGCAGTGGCTAGGGTCACTCACCACGGCAGAGGTGAGAGGAGGAAGCCACCTTGGAATGTGGAGACACTTTAGACTTACCTTGCCCCAAACCTCACCACCAGCTCTTGACCCGGAGGGACTGATGTGGAGAGGGGCGGTGGTTCTGTGTGAGCGTGAGTGGAAAAGTATGGTTTGGTTGGCATCGCGCTACGAGCCCATCATGCCCCCAGCTGTAGGTCTACGAAGCCCCTCCACACGGGAATCAGTAGTGCTG